CCACAGGGCACCCCCCATTGACCAGTGACCACCCCACTGACCACAGGGCACCCCCCATTGACCAGTGACCACCCCACTGACCACAGGGCACCCCCAGCTCACCCACTTAAGACCTCCCACTCATCTGGTGGCCCAGACCCTCTTCAAGACCCCTCCTCTCACAGGGCCCTCCCCCCACCCCCAGGACTCCTCCTCACCGATCTGGTGGCACAGGAACCCCCCCAGGACCCCTCCTCACCGATCTGGTGACACAGAGCCCCCCCAGGACCCCTCCTCACTGATCTGGTGGCACAGAGCCCCCCCCAGGACCCCTCCTCACCGATCTGGTGACACAGGGACCCCCCAGGACCCCTCCTCACCGATCTGGCGGCACAGGGACCCCCCCAGCTGCCGGGCCCCGCTGAGCAGCAGCCGCAGCACCGTGTCCCTTGTCCCCGCGTCCCCCCGCGACAGCTGCAGCAGGACATTGGCCGCGTCCTCCAGCCCCTCCTCCGAGCACGAGTGCGACGTCAGCACCTGGGGGTGGCACAGGGGGAGTTGGGGACACCTGGGGACAGCAGGACACCCCCCCCAGCCCAGCCCGGCCCCCCTGGTACCTCCACGGAGAGTTGGAGCTGGCTCTCGGTCAGGCCCGTGGCCGCCAGCCGGGGGTCGGGGCCACCCTCGGGGACCTTGGCAGGGGACTTGGAGCTCTTGGCAGGGGCTGGGGACAGCGGGGACACGGCGGTGGGGGCGGTGGCAGTGGGAGGGAGATGCCACTGACCTCACCTCACCCACCCTGCCCAGGCTGCTCGCCGTGCCTGTCGTGTCCCCGTGCGTCCCTGTCCCCACGTCCCATCTCTGTCACCGCATCTCATCCGTGTCCTATCCCTGCCCCCATCCCCATCCTCCCACCCCTGTCTCCCCCATCCCATTCCCATTCCCATCCTCATCCCCCCATCCCCTTCCCCATGTCCCTGACCCCATCACAATGCCCTCATCTCTGTCCCCATGTCCCCACATTCCCACCCCGTCCCCATCCCAGCCCCCTGTCCCCATCTCCATGTCCCCATCCCTGTTCCATCCCCATCCCTTTGTCCCCCTGTCCTCATCCCCATCCCCATGTCCCCATCCCCATCCATTTGTCCCCCTGTCCCCATCCCCATCTCCATGTCCCCATCCCTGTTCCATCCCCATCCCCATCCCCTTGTCCCCAACCCTGTTCCATCCCCATCCCCTTGTCCCCCCATCCCCATCCCCATCTCCATGTCCTCATCCCTGTTCCATCCCCATCCCTTTGTCCTCCTGTCCCC